ATCAACATTACCTTCTTTGAACAGACCAGAGGAGGAAAAAAGAACTCTACCTTCCTTCTACATCCAACTGTTTGATTTCAGTTAGCATTATTTATCTATCTCTTATTCACATTTTATCTTGGTTTTATTAAATTTGAGTTTGTATTATGATTGATGACCGTGCTGGTGTTTTCTTGACATTTTTTTATTACAAGTTAATCATTTTCAATTTCTTGTCGCATTTTGATACTATACTGTAGTATCGCTTAAAGAAGACCTGTCTTTCGTTCGTAACATAATTTAACTCACTTTCTGTTTATATACTAATATTATAATGAGGTGACAATAATAGAAGTGCTAATTAAGTTTTGAACTTGTCAGATTTACTGACATCGCCGGTGTTTTGTAAGCGATATTTGGCAAGGTCAGGATTTATTTGACAGCATATATGTATTGGTAAAAGGTTAAATTAAGATACGTGTTTATCAATCATGTGTTCAAATTGCAGCTCTTGATCAAACAATTGACCTAGTGTTCAATATCGTTCATATTTCCTCGTACCTGGCCACATTGTTGTGTTTCATATCGGTTCTCGTTCGGTGGTGCTCGTAGTTTTCCATATTTGGCTGGGCTTGTGTACATGTCCAGATGTGACAGATGAGAAAATTGTTCATGAGCGAGTGCATTTTAATAATACTTTTATGAAAGTAATCGCGCATACGACTAGAAAATTAACGCCTAGAACATATCCTCCGCAGACCAAAGCCGGTAGACAGATGAAAATCTGACAGGACTACAAGTCGGTGAAGGTATATATTTCATTATATTTATAATGACTAATGTCTTAATACTGACGATAATGATATTGTATTACATATTCATTTCCATAAAAGGAACATTTCCCTAAATTGGTTGATTTTTTTTCTCATGGAAATAACCAAACAACACAGGTGATCTTAAATTGCTTTAACATTTATATTATATGCAGTTCTTTACCAATGTATTTTTCTGTATTGAGTCTGCAATCGAACGTGAGTATTTTGTGTAACAACTTATCACCACCTGGTCAAGTAAACTAACATACATAGCTGGTGTAAATTAACGAGGTTTGCTCATTAGATTTATATATGGTTTATAGAAAAATCGCGAGAAATTCTTCATAAATTGTTAATGTGCCATTGTCTTTGTGGTTCAGAAAACATCCATGTTTTCGTCGGAAGTTTGAGATATATTCCAATCCAATTTTCATGGTCTTTGTCGTATTTTATGTAATTTTTTTTATCAAATATTAAGTAGTTTTGTTCAAGTTTAAGGATATAGTGAATGTATTTTAATGGGTTTGAATTTTTCATCTTTACAAAGTATCTCATCTACTTCTTCTGAATAATTTGTCTTAGATTAAACATATTTTATTTGTCAATTTTTGTCATATGTCAACACTTTGAGGCCCTCACTTCAACAAACACATTATCAACAATGTGACTACGTCAAATATATACACATATATATTATATAGCCAACCTTCAAAAGCAGGAAATGAGGGGCACAGAGACAAAGGAAGCACAGGGAAGACAAACATAACAACATAATTTCCATATACGTGTATATGTATATACGTAGGTATAACTGTGTGGCACTTACCAGCAACACATCCATGGTTTGTCTTTAGGTCAGTTTAACCGCTTTCGATTTATAAGTGATAACGTATTTTGATAGATTGATGTTACTGAAATCTGCATAGTTCTTTTGATATTTTATACTGCTTTACCATCTGTAAATTATCATTTAATTATTTATATGCATTTTATCAATTTAAATGTTTTTTTCATGGTATTTTGAGCCAATCTCTGTGTACACCAACTGACCCTATTTGACACGTTTATAGACCATTTAGAACGTATGTTTGCTTTGTTTCGCCCACTCTTCATCTGTTAGGAATCATTTATTAAATTAACGACAAAAGGATGTAATACGGGAGTTTTACGATATCTCAGCCATCAGGAAGGACAATATATGTCCAAGGCTGTTTAGTAATTGGGCTGGCTTACCTGTACGTCGTAGAATATCTTGCATCATCGATGAGGCTGCCCCTGTCATTAGTAGGTTTCCTGTATTTTGTACGTATGACTAGCTAGCGTTAGCTGTAGGTAAAAAAGGCCCCGGGGCAGTAACAGCGGGACAGCGCGTCAGTAACCGTTAATATTGAAGTATGTGCTCTTAGTATCAGAGAAGTATATTGCGTAGTTACAGAAAACAAACCTAACGATTGAGGATTATGTTATGTTCATTACATCCAAGAACATTATTAAAGCTCCATCACGTCATCCATTATCACAGGTAAGAGATATGATGGCCGTTTTTGTACGTCGTTCTGTGTGACCTGGTGTGTTGATGTCGAGGGAGTGGACAGGTGTTTTTTTATTCAAGTTACCCGCGTCCACGCCTGACTGATATATATATGTGTACATATGTAACTGTAACAATGGCGTTCTGTATGTAAGTTATGCTGTGTAAATGTGTTGTAACAAACAATTAGCTCATGAACTGTTTAAGACAAATTGAGAACAAAACATTAACATTAATGCATGTCAAGTGCTGACATGTGACAGAGAGGCGTGACGCGGTAAATTGTAGAAATTGTTTAACCGAGCACATTTACATCTATTGCAGAGTCAACGAGACTGATGTTTATGTACAGGGTTCGTGACAACTAGCGCAGGTATGATCAGATGATATGTGTTTATTATCAGTAATTAATCATGTCACCAAAAAAACAGATTCACCGTCATTACACATTAGGCGATCATTTTGTTTTTATGATATATCATGACTGCACGAACCGTTGATTTCAGGTAAACAAAATTTCCGAAGTAAGAAATGGTATTTTTTTGTTTTGTTTCACCAATAGACATGTTCGTTAATTATGAAAATGGATAATTCATTCGACGAAGCAATCCGAATGACTTAATCTTTTCGGGATGTCTCGGAGTTTTACACCCACAATGCATATCTAAACTTGTTGTTTCTTTTCTCCTCCGTCTTATTTTTTCATTTTATTAAAAAAATAGAGCAAAAACACGTGATTTTAGCATGTCGCAAACAATTTTAATGACAATGAAATATGCATGCAGTGAATGATAATGGAAATGTAATTCCCAATATTTTGTGTAAATCAAAGCTACATCTTACGAAGTCAACATGGGACAATGACCCAGATTACCTTTCAGCGAACCGTGTTGATATTCGGACGGGAGCACTAAGCCTATTATTCAATGTATGTATCGCAAATTCTTTTATATAAACTAACATTCAAATGAAACAAATATACTTATATAATTTCTTGAAGTTTACTCTCTCTTGACTTGATAATATTTAGCACCTTGCAGACTATGATTTTGAAAAGGCTGCGACAGTTGTTATGTCGACTTTCGTAAGATATTTTGATTGTTAATCAGCCGTTATTTGATTGGTAAAATCTGTTTAAAATAGAAATAATAATGATTTTATTTTAAGTCTTTATTCAGGTGAGCAACAGTTTGTATCTTTTGTAAAATTAAATTTGATATATAATTATCAAATTTTTTGCCTCTTTTCCCCTCTTTTCTCTTGATCTTTTAAAATAATTTTGAGCTCTACCGCGTAAGGCGCCGCTAGTTAATATTTTGCACCGAAAACTGAAATTTGAAATTAACAGGAAAGACTTTAAAATGTTTTAATAATGAAACCGATGATGTGAGTACTTCACTTGCTACTGTTTCAAAGTCCAATATATTATTTCATTGATAAAACTAAGAAACATACATCAAGCTTGCATAACAACAAGAAAATAACAATATGTCAACATAATCATAATCCAAATTTAAATTTATTAAAAGCTAGAGCAGAAACAAGAGTAAACTAACATGTCAATGTAATTGTAATACACACTTCTATAAAAACCAAGTAAGATTTACACGGAGACTCCATTAGCCGTATGAAAACAAGAAAAGAAAGTTCAATGTTTATGATTTGTAGACTTGTATTTTAGATGTGATACTATATTTTCTGCTGAAAGATAACAGAGCACGCAGTTAAACAGGGCGGTAAATTCAAAGTGTCATCCATGAAAACATCAACGAATATACCAACATGTTTACGGAATTATAATTCAAACAAATTCTATGAAACTAGGGAAAATATGGTCAAAAGTAAGTCAAATGCTCCTGAAAAGAGAGAATTCTACAAGGAGAATAAGGTCAGGTGTTCCGGATTTATTAAAAACTTATACTACATCTATATAAAAATACCTGTAATGCCACGATTCACTAATGCGTTCCTATCTATCTAATGCACAATGTTTACTCCTTGATATCAATTCTCTCTATCTAATATCTAATATTATGTGAAGAACGGCTAATCAGTGTTACCAAAGTTTGTTCAATATCAATACGCTAAACATTGCGAGTGAAAGAAGAAAAGAAAAAGTCCATATTTAACTCCTCTCAACGTTATTAAAAGAAGAAAATATAGATAGTTTCGCAGCTAATCAGTGTTATCAAATTTGTTTAATTAATTAAATGTTGCTAGTGGAAGAAGGAAATGATTCTATATTCAACTCATATGTCAACGTTATTATGATGGATAGATATATAGATATATTCACGAAGCGTAAATTCTTCAAAAAAAAAAGAAGTTACCAACGCATTGATGATTATCGTAATATGTTTGGAACATAATGTTTTATTCAATAGTTCGACGAGGATTAAGGAAAAAATAAAGTAAAAACAAAACACAATTCTTATTTGCAGGTTCCATTTTCTTACATGACTTCGAGATGAGGGTCGTTTAGTTATCACTAGGATTGTCTGTTTTTGGTTATAATGTTCTTAGATTGGAGGTGGGCTTAAATATGGCAATGGTATGTTTGTGTTTCAGAGCCCCGGAAGCCGTATGTATGGAGTATCGATGGCAACATGGCCATATGAACCTATATCACCGTGTAGATTTACCCACCTGTATCGGAGAACACGTGATCACAAAGAATGATATCCGATGTAGTTCCTGTTCTGCTATTGATGCTTTTCGTCACATGTATGGCATCACACGTGTTTGATTGGCTTAAACCAGATAAGTTTGATGACTTGGACGACAAGATGGTTGCAGTCCACCAAGATAACTGTAGATCCAAAGCGAAATCCGACATGCTGTTTCCTGTGGATACAATTTCTCAAATCCCCAAATTCAATAAATTGAAGCACCGTATTTTCTACAAAAACCGAACAAGTTTACTTCATCTCCATAATATGGCATTAAATAGAGCTTTCTTCTACAGTTATATTCTGCAGAAGATGAACACATCTGACTCCTTTCCTATCCAACCCAACATCCACTATCTTTACATGTCTGTAACCGCTGATGTCAATGCCAACCCTGCTGGTATAAATGGAAGTGCCTTATACTTTGACAACAACTGTTACTATCCTAACTGGTTCACAGAGCGCGACTTCAACACGACAATCCCACTATTTGGACCAAAAGCCTGGCGCTGGGACGATACGGAGGACCAGGACAACTTCCTCCGTGAACCAACGCGGAAGGTGGCATTTGTAGACGATGTCGGCACTGGACCAGGGAAAAATTACACAAGTGCGTCATTCAAAATGAACCCGTGGTATGAATTCTGGCTGCCGGATAATGACGCTTTCTTGGATTCTGCGAAAAAATTCACTTACGGGACCGGCATTAAGTATTCTAATGAGACAGGAAAATTTATACATAAAGAATTTGAGCTTTTCAATTTCTTTGGTCCCAACTCCCCAGGACAGGAAGTAGATGACGACACCCTTCTTCCGGTACGGTTCACACGCCCTTACTTTGACTGTAACAAGTCCAATAAGTGGGTAGCAAGTGCCGTTTCCCCAATTGTTGACTACATGCCAAGATATCTGAACTGGACGCACATGCGTAGACCTCGGTAAGTATTATGTATTGACCTTTTTACACAACAAAACGCCAACAAAGTTTTCACTCAAAACACCTCTACACTTAAATTTTAAAATGTCTTGCACGTTTCACTTCAAACATTGTTTCTGACTGTCGAACACTGACGATCAAGAACAATATACCGATGTTAATGCTTCACTGCTCTTTAACTGAATTCAAAACTTTTCATTTTATGAATATTACTGCAGCTAGCAGACACCGCTGGTGATAGAAATTGCTTGAGATAGACATTGCAGGTGATAGACACTCCAGGTGATAGACACTGCAGGTGATAAACACTGCAGGTGATAAACACTGCTGGTGAATTTTGATCCCCAAGATTCAATGAGGCACGATTCAAAGTAAAAATTTACAAATATATTTAACGTTCTTCTAAAATCATCACATATATGAAAACTACAAAATTTTTGGGCATGTGCACCTTCCAAATCTAAATTTCAATTTTAGTTCGATTACATTGGAGTTCCCCAGTCGCTTCCTAGACTTCAAAATTTAGGTCCTAAACACGAGTCGTAGATGGACGAAATAGCTGTATAGTGAGGTTTAATTGGCTCTACTGCATCTTACTCTAAATATGTATTACAAGGAGCTATTTACTTGTGTGTTATTTGTTCAATCTTCTAGTACCCAAGGATTGGCCTAACCTGCATACCACGTTTTAATTCATTAGAATAGTGGCACGGTTCAGAATAAACACATATTCTTTGCCCTTTTCTTGTTTGGCTTTTCTGCAATATTTATAGAAGGTTTTAAAGAACAATGATACTATACTGCTTTTTAAAGTTTGTCCGATGTAGTAAGTGGACTCGCTTCAAAAACTGACCGCTGGCATTGTACTCCCCTGAGACCAGAACTTAATTTTCTTTATATACAGTGTATCAGTAAGATATAATCGATTTCCTAATCAAAACAGATGTATTGTATAAAAATATCAAATTACACATTCAGGTTTGTTGGAGTAATCGTGATGGACATTGATTTCAAGGAGATAGATTTCAATCCGTGTGCAGTAGGTATAGGGAACCCAGGCCCCAGCTACTTGGCAGGGATAGCTAAATGTAGAGATTCCACCAGGGTAAGTGCTGTCACGTCTCAACACATTTATTTAATTTTGTTACATCATGGTCACAGGAAGGTCACATAAATGACATCCTAACTTTAATAATCTCCTTAATAAACATAATTAATTAGAGTTGAATCAAATAAAATGTAAATTTCACACAGCAAATACAGGTCATAATTCTGGTTATGGGTTTTGTTATTTATATTGACAAGAATCACATGTCTAACAGAGGACGACCATTGTCTTATTAGTACTGACAATCGTATGACAAATTACCTTTTCTCCATTATTTGTCCTTTGTTATCTAAACCATACTGCAGCCATCAGTATGCTGTCGAGAATTTGTATTCTGTCCTAGACATAGTGTCAATTATTGATTAAAGAGGTTATTACTATTTACTGACAGTGTAAACACCGATCAGGGCTAGGATTTCGACGTGACAGCTACACCTGTTCCTGTAGGTCGGGATTCTATTTGCCCCACTTCTTCGAGCGGAATTACAAGGGACGTAATGTGGAGCAGGCAACTTATGACGAGTACATGTCTGGATTTACATGCATCCGTACTCAGTGTAAGTTTGAATAGCTGACGCAAGCCTTTTATATTCATTCAATTAATTTGCTGTTCTAATAGAGAAATTCTTCTATATATCAATGGGGCTAATTTCATGGTATGACATGACGTTGTAAATATCACAATACATATTGAACTATCCTTTCTGTTTTGTTTTTAAATATTAAATCTATGTTTTTTGAGAATTTATTGACGTCATATACAATTGTCTTTCTGACGCAAAGCCACAGAGGAAGGCCATTTGATAAGTGAATAATTTGGAAACAAATCTAGTTGAGAAAAGGTTATTAAATTTTGTCCTGTAATATCTCATAGTCAGAAATCTTTAATAGAAAATTTCTATATTTCAAAATTGATCAAGCTCAGAATTCAACGCGACCCAAGATGAATCGATCTGTCAAAAACATTAACAGATAGAATGGACGTTATATAGGCATTTTATTGTTCTTAAATGAATATTTTCATATCTTCTAGATCTGCATGTGCTACCTATTGGTGTGGAGTCCACGCGACTTATGACATCGGAAGAATCTAAAGTTATAAGTACAAACACGACATCTTATAAACAAGGACAGATGGGAAGCAGAAGAAGGCGATCTGCTGTCCATATGCAGTTTAAACAATCCGCCTATGATAAGATGATGTCAATATTCCGACAAATAAAGATGGTTACCTCTGTGAACTGTATGACTCTATCAGAAAGTTCTTTGCATCTTTCTGGAGATGTGGCGTATGGCGTGGACACACAGTTTGAATCTCAGGGAAGAACTGCTCTACGTTTAGCACATTTTCTCAATAATTTTCATCAAAACATAAACCCGTATGAAAAATTTGGATGGATGAGAGGAGGGGGAAGATTACACCAGGAGCACATTTTTGGCGAAGTGCTCGCGAACGTTATGGCTGACCATAAAATTTTGTCAAGTGGAGTGTATTATGAACCTTATGTATTTGAAAATATGGACGGCTCTAAGAGGAAATTTTTCGGACCATTTGCTTTCCAGAAGAAAGGAGTAAGCTACGCAATCGACACAGCTGGTTTAAGGAGACCTTACGTGGACGAGCAATGGTACAGACGTGCAAGGGAACGCTGGAGCACAAACACTGCTTCTCTTAAGACTTACAAAATGAGGTCGATGATGAGATCAGATCAAGAGGGAAGTAGTTCGGTCAAATTTGAATATTTCCCAGTTTCATATCAAGCACCTGACTACTCTGACGGAATCTGGATCGGGCCGACGTTTAGATGCGATGGAAACATTGACGACTGGGTTATGACTTACATATCACCATTTTTTAGAATAGAGCGTCCATTCCAAATGCTACGGTTCTCGTAAGTATCTTACCTATCATATACTGAGTGTTTGTATCGGACACTTTTAGGAGTTCAACATTGAACTGTCATCAGATACTAGTAGACAGTCTATATCAATATAAGTTTAGTGACAGACAAATAGAAAGTCAACCGTTAGGCGAAAAAGACCTAATTGATATAATTGTAGCACAAAGCCTCTTAAACTACATTATACTATTTAACTGCACAAAATATATTTATATAGCTGCCCTCGATATTTTTTGTTTATTCTTGTAATACGTCTCTGTGACCTGTTGTAAATAATACCAACATAAAATCGACATGAGCAACAAACACCACTAAGTGGGAGTTATCACCCTTACTGTATGTCTGAAAACAATGCTATCAAACCGAAGTTATATTTTGGTTGACATTTTCTAGTAGAACGTGTCATATCGTATATAGATGGATTTTAAGGGTACAACTACTAAAGTGTACGGCACAGTCATAACGGGTACTCTGTAGCAGGGTAAATATACCAGTTCGATTCATACCTATAAAAGGCCTAGTGTTTACCGCCATCTTTTGAAGACATCCAGCATTGAGCAGTTGGCTGTGTTAATGTGTTCCTTTTATTATTTGTCTTTGTGTTCTTGCGAAGAAATTCCCGACGTTGTTCGAATCAAGTGATATGATAATTAAAAAATTGTTTGATTGTATGATTTATATGTTTTTGTTTTATAAAACATTCAGTGGTGTGGTGACTGTTGATGTACCATTGAATCTTCTGGAAATAAACCAATGTCCACAACCATTTTATATCGCCAACGCTTTCAAGAACACAGCCAAGTGTCACATCCAGTCTACCAAGGTAATAACAACATTGGTGGGGCATGGTGTGTCATCTAATGTCTGCTATTATCAACGTTACTGTTATATCTCAAAAATCATAAACAAATACTATTTGAACATTGTTTTTTTTTCGAATTAAAGGAAGGTGTCACAGCTAAATAAAACTGAAACATTTACTGGTATATCGTACTCTGTGCACAGTATATAGCATGTTTACTAACTATCAAATACGTTCACTGTTTTAATCAAAGCCTGAATATGCTTATCTCTTACGTTATCATCCTATTAAGTTTGTCTCTGTGTTGACAGTGCCGTGCAATACCTGGTTATGGTATGACAAGGGGAGCATATCGCTGCGACTGTCGGGCGGGGTTTGAATACCCATTTAAGGACCAGAAGAGATGGTATGAGGGTTACCTTTTAGACAGAGAGTATGAGAAGAAACAACAAGGGATATATAGTCGGTATGTATGTTATACATATAGTCGAACCTGGTTATCTCAAACTGGTGTCACTTGAAGACATCGTTTAATTCGAAACAGTGGAAGTCGTTTAACTCGAACACTCAGAAGTCGGAAGTTTTCATACGGTCCGGCCTCTTCGAGTTGACGAGGTTAGACTGTATAAACAAAACAAAGATACACGCATATCATTTCACTTGATTCATATAAGATTTTATCACATAGAGATATCATTTATTTATTCCTATTTAGATTTATCTATATGACAGGTAAACATTTTAGTAAACCTGTCAACTCAAGGAAACATGATACATCGAAATCTCAAAAATGATCTTTAAGTACGTTGTATGGTTTTAAATGTAAACATTTCCTCATTGTTATTCATTGTTTATTTACATACCATGACATCGTTGACTGATTAATTATGATTTATTACTTTATAGCTCAGGTATACAACAATGCAATCAACCTTAGTTTACAATTGTAGTTAATGTTTTAATTTATGATATAAGTGTGTAGCTTATTATATCTCATTTAAACGATTTTTATTTCCCAGCTGTTGTTTAGTTTATCGGTACACTACACATACAGAATGCCTTTACAGGTATTTCATATGTAATGTCCTATTATGTCAATGTCCGCTATTTCTTCCGCGAGGTCCTGATATTATTTTGTTGGATTGTCTGCGTCGTCTAGTCTTTCATTATATAATTCTTTAGATTGATTCTGCCAAATGATAATTTCTGTAAATCATCTCCCGGAACTTATACATACTTTGCATATTGTATGCTTCTTGAATCATTATGGTCACATTTTTCCTGGTTATACTGACCTGTCATTTCTAGATGACGCCTACCATTTGGCTCTCAGGAACTTGTGTGTCCCATGACCTATTTAATATCAAACGATTTACTTCGGACTTTGAGTTTCAGTGAAAATAAAAAAAAACAAGCCGACTTATAAAAAAAGTCTAAGCTTAAACTTTACCAGTGTTTTCTTGCATAATTAAACCCGTATTTGCTTACTATGAAAAAATATCAACCAAGACACATCCCCACTACTAATACATATGTTCCTATACATTGTTGTATGAGTATCCATTAATACGTTCTAGTGACACGTTCCTAAAAGCTGTTCGCTTTCAAATTCGTGTTTCTTTTTCACTCTCTTTGATACGTAGATTATGATTGTTCCGGGTCACAGTTTCATTGTTTAGTCCAGCTTTAATATCAACCATGGACGAACGACTTAAAGAACAACCTTCCTCGATAAACTAAGGGTTATGATCACTTTCGCTCTTCTTACCCCTGGAACATATGGCAAAATTGAAGATTTCTGGTGCGATACCTTGTGGTACGACGGGAAGATTAGTGCATCAAACGAATCTCGAGGTCGCATAACGGTATTTTGTACTGGATTTGAAGTTGGATGTCGCTCCTTTGTCTTCTTCAAATGAGCATACCAATGTAGAATATGTCGTTTTTCTCCCGAGGCCCGCTCTAGACAAATCAAATTACTTCACTTGTGCCTTTAATTTTGCCAGGAATTGTTTCAGGTAGACTGAAAGAGCGATATTGAGCTTAGTCCCTGGAGTATCGAGGTGCGAACAGCCGTGACAGTCTTAAGTTCGTTTTATGTTATAAATGGAGATTAGATACGGTTTTTCAAATTGTTTTTATTACTTACTCTAATAGCATTGCCTCCATACATTAATTTGTATATTGATTCCACATCATGTCATATCTTTTCTATCCAAACTGTTTTAAACAAATAACATTCTTTTAATCTACGACTACACTAATAGAAGGTGAGACTTGATATCAGTGAATACACACACATCTTTTTGAAACATGTTATATTCCAAATATTTCAACTCCTCTTTAATAGCATATATTTGTAAACATCGATTTGGTTTAATTAGCTCCTCTTCATGATATCCACATTTACCTACTACTCAATGTTATATAGAGATGTTATTCACATTTCTACATGCAAATCACACGCCTCGTGTTCTAAGTAGTATAGTGTTATTAAGTATGACACTAAATCACATGACCTGCTTTGTTTGTTCTAGGTTTGACACCCTCTCATGTCGGGTCTCTTCAGGACGATCTTTGATTCCATATCCGCTGTCACTCATTATCGCTTTTCATGTCATCAAACTTCTCGTCTTCGGTACAGGAGCAGATCTTCATAATTAGCAATTATATTTGTTTCATCATGCATCGTTTATATAATAATACATAGTGATATATATTTCCCGCTTATTGAATGTACATCACATCAATATTCGTAATGTCCCGTGTCGAATGAGCTATGTTCAGTGTCTTTTATTTATTTTACATACATATTTTTTATTTTTACTGCTTTTGTTTACTTCGAAAATTAAAAAAAGTGTTTACTTTAGTAATGGTTTTGTACTTTTTGTATTTTACATAGAGGATTTTCATATATATGATCAAGCTCGAAGCAAATGTGCTATTTCTCTGTATCTAGCGCAATAAGACATAACTAGCATTCTTAAGTTCACAAATACTTTGCGAAGTCCTTGAAATTTAGGATAAATTACTGACGTCTTGTCTTTAAATAATAAGAAATAAGACTGGCACAACAGACCCTCTACATCAACCGCATACTTCGATCTTATTTTCTTCAATGAAACTTTCCATGAAGAAGTATACTTAGCTTGATGATTTCACTTTTCCTTTTGTGAATTTTCCGTTTCTTGAGAGCAACACTCTCCATCTCCAACTGATGGTGTCGCAACATGTCGCAGTTGGTTCAGTATTCAAGAACCTGTTCGCAGTATCACGATTTTCATTGAAGAAATCGACAATAGACATATTACATATGGTTTCAAGAGAGTGATGAAAATTATAGGGAAGTTTTACAGTCCTCAAAGTGATATATTTTTAGATATCGCTCTTTGTGCCTGTTCTCTCATTACCCTATTCTCTCTTTGGAACGTGACATTACTTACTGAGATAGATCAAGATTGACATGTGTCGTCGATGAAACGCTTACTCTTCCGGAACACATGACTTTAGTCTCCTTGTAGGAGCCTCTGTCTTTTTTGTTAATATTTCTCCGTAGTTTTGTAGAATTTGTGTTTGAATTATAATTCCGTTTACATGTCATTTTGTTTCGTCGTTGTTTAGATTCCTGTTAGCCGCCCTGTCTAATTGCGTGATGTTTCACATCTTGAATAGAAGACTTCAAATGATAAAAGATTGAACTTTTCGTTGTGTTGATAGGATTAATTGTCATAATTGAACCATCAACAATCATACACAATATTCCAGTAGATTAATTACGACAATGTCTGTATGGACATATAAAAAAGGAAGTTTAAATCTCTTTACATATACGTCTGCCAGGAAATTATTATAATTTGTAATACGTTCCAGTTATAAAATTATGAAAAAACTATCACGTGAGCACAAACCAGGAAGTTTTTTTTATGATGTATATGATAATGTTGTTATCGAATAAAAGCACCATACCAGGTGCTTGTCAAACATTCCAGGCCGGCGGCTATAGAAGGAGTTGATGACAGTCTGGGTAGGTGAGCTTTTATTTCCTTTTTATAATCATTATAATATTGAAGAGGAATTCGCAATTGTTCATAAATAATGAACAACAATTTGTTTACTCGTATTTGTGTATGTAAACTAGCTGAATACATATGTTTGTATATTGTAAAAGACACACAGGTGAATAGCACATTTTTAAACAAATTTAGATAAAAACAGTAGAGTCAAACAAAGAATTAAACTTCATCACTATATGGTAAACGTTTCTTAGGGTTTTCAATAAAAACGGCATAACATCATGTAATTTTGAAGAACCCTGCCAAGTTTAACAGAAATCAGTTGAAAGCTGAAGTTAGGGATCTAAACAAGTTAAAAAAGGGAAAACAGCCAAAGTGAATAACCTACCAATTATTTGAAAACACTGCTTAACGTTTCATTGTTACTCATATTTTAAGAATCGATCGAAAATTGAATGAAGGAACCTGAATGGATAAATCTCGGCACAGATAAAAGAAATAAGCCTAATATAGCTTATTTTCCGCGTTTGATCGCAATAATAAGCATTTAGCTTGCAAAGATAAAGATTATGTTCCATGAAAAAGATATCGTTATGTCAATGATAATTGTTAGTGTGATTGATTTGTTCATGATCTGTATACACCGTCTTTATAACATCATGAGCACCGTTTATCGAATCGAGTGACACCCTACTGATATATGTATTCAGATCTACCATACCACCTTTCATGTTCAGTCAACCCATGTACAGATTTCTATCTTAATCTCCGGTCGGAGTTAGTCAAAGATAATGTTTAACCGTTCTCCTTCCGGCCTGGTTCCATATTCCTCAAAATTTGGGCAAATTCCATTATTTTCACGAATCCCTTTTGAGGCCGACAATAGAATTCACGGCAAACAATCTGACCACAGATATAGAACAGGAAGTTGGCAGATTTCTTCCGACATGTAACTGATCACGTACCTTTACTTAATGTGTCAGTCTTATGAATACTTTCTTTTACCTGCATTGTAACTTACATAACCTTCTGTCAATAAGAACATTTGGTTTGTGAAAAATCGATCTTCAAGACACGCATATTTTTTTCTAGTTTTCAAAAATCTTCAAAGTTATAAAATGGAAAATAAAACAAAAAGCAAATATTAGCTGACAAAATTGTATATTACAATATGCTAAGCTTGTACTGGCTATGTTAGCCTTTATCAATGTTGTACTTATCAAACTCAACAGAAATAACAATGATTATTTTTTGAATTCCAGGTATGTTTTTCTTCTCGACAATAAAATCAACAATAAAACACATGATGTGCTCTCCTGTTGCTGTACGTTACTGGGTAATTTTCTGCCTGTTCATCCCAATGTTTTCATCGTCGATACTCACTTGCCCTCCATGCAAGTGTACTCTCACTAAAGCGAATTGCTCTAATTTGGATCTTATGGAGGTACCACAACTTCCAGTGACGATTAGGACACTGGACCTGTCAAACAATAGACTCGGGAATCTGTCATCAAGGACGTTTCGAAATGTATCTTCCCATATCGAAACGCTGAAACTAAGTCATAATTTTATAAATGACATTGACCGAGACACATTCAACGATTCAGTAAACCTTGTAAACTTGGACCTCAGTGACAACCGATTTTCCAGCCCGACTAAGGTGTTCAGAGCACTAGCAGCAACCAAACTGCAGCTTCTCGACTTATCCAATACCTCTCTACACTTCTCCAACTTCAGCACATTAAAGCTCCTATCGAGCGTGCCAATTCGTACACTTAATCTTCAAGATAACAGTCTGAAGGTTCTGGATGGCAGTTTGAAGAACAGCTGCCCAAATTTACAGAAGTTAATCCTAACAGGAAACTTCATCAGGAAGATTTCATTTTCTGACGTACAATATAAGTTAAAAGAACTGTATATCGACGAGAATGTTCTCACTGAGGTCCCTTCATTCTGCTTAAAGGAAAGTTATACAACGGCGGCACTGCCAGCGCTACGAACCCTGTCGATTTCTGCGAATCTCATGACTTCTTTAAGACACCTCAATCACTCAAAACTATGTGTACAAAACATAGAGACATTGCTGATGGATAACAATCATTTTTTCAGAATTAGTGAAAATGCTTTTACAGGTTTCCCAAAACTACGAACGCTATCTTTAAATATGATTAACACAAAACGTCTGATTATCCATCAAACAGCATTCAATTCTACGTCCCTTCAAAACCTGACACTTGGCACCATTCAAAAGATATTTACAGTAAGTGACAATATGTTCGATTACTGTGGAAATTTAAGTTCTCTAACACTTGCAGGAGTCTCCTTTTACAAATGGCCATTACAAAAGATGCGGAAACTGTTTTCCTCATTGCTGAAACTGAAACATTTGACGCTCTTCAATTCACAGATCTCGCTCATTCCAACACATTTTCTTCCAAACGTGCAGAATTTGGTTTATCTCGACGCGAGAAAGAATTTTCTTTCGTCCTGGCAATCAGTGGCGTTCAAGAACGCGACAGCGTTAAAAACGTTGATATTAAGTTACAATCATATTACACATTTGAATGAATCGTTTTTACCAACATTTCTTTGGAAACAAATTGAAATTCTTGACCTTGCTTTCAACCCCTTTGATTGTTCCTGTGAGTTATACTGGTTTAGGAAGTGGCTCAACAAGAACAGTTACAAGGTTAAGACATATCCGAAAGTCTACTTTTGCAAGTCACCTTCCAAATACAAAGACAGAATGCTGTCAAATTATAATCCATCGTATCGCGAGTGTCACCCTCTACCCACACTCACCATTGCACTGATTTCATGTGCATGTGTTCTTGTTTTTCTAGCCGTTCTAGCTGTCATTCTCTACAGGAACAGATGGCATATCAAATACTACATCTACCTGCTACGCGCAAAACAAGGATACAAGCAAATTCCAGGAGATGACCGCTTCGTCTACGACGCGTTTGTAGCCTACAACTCTACGGACCGTATCTGGGTTATATCAAAGTTAAAGGAATTTCTTGAAGCTCAACATAATATGAAACTTTGCCTTCACGAACGAGACTTCAGTGCAGGGAGGTTGATCATTGATAACATCATAGAAAATATCCAACTGAGTAGGAAAGTGATACTCATTCTGACTGATGAATTTGCAAAGAGTCAATGGTGTCAATTTGAAACGTTGATGGCACAGAATCGATTCTTTGAACAGGGCGCGTCGTCGCTGGTTCTAGTGATGCTAGAAGACGTTAGTTCTCGTCACCTGAATGGTCCTTTAAGCCTACTGCTTCAGTCAATGACATATATTGAGTGGTCTAAAGATCCTGCAGGAAATGAAATGTTTTGGGGGAAGTTGCTGGAATCACTGCAATAATCTTTTCTGATGTTTGTTTGTATGTAAATAAACGGGAAAAAAAATAAAAAAAAAAATAACTGGATGATTAAATGATTTATATGAAGACTGTCATGAGAGGTTTCATTCTGGTGACAGACAAATGCATGATCTCTAGTTTTAAATCCAAGCTATCGTGTTTATTAAGCCCTAAATGCTTGTTGAATATCAGCAATGTTCAGGCTGACATCACTAACAACAAAATAATTTATCAACTAATGTCTTTACGTCATCATCAAAATATAAACAACAACCTTTTATATAAATAATGATTTTGCTAATATGTATGTATTAATGAAGCTGTTTCAATATGATTCCATAATGAAGAGATGTTTTTATTTGATAATAGTAATCATTTTCCCATACATTCCATTCTCTTTGGTAGATTATATAAAAATGAACCAATAATAATGAAATGTTGTCAAACAATCAACTACGCATTATCAGTAAATCAAAATGGCTGTTACATTTTCGTGTTTACTGATCATACAGCCCAATACAATTTATATCATTTTATATCTAACCATTATTTCCTAACATGAATAGTAGCAAGTATCGTCCTTGTGAACAGCTTGTTATATTTACTACAAGTGACACGTATAAGTAAGGTTGTATGTATGTAAATTGATACGTATTGTACATATATCATGTATTAGATAAAAGTACAGTTACAGGAAATTATGTCAATTAAAATTTGATAAACAATCATCAATGTGTATATATCATACTTATGTTTGTTATTTATATATAAACGATGAAATGTTGAAAGGAAGTTATTCAAGAACATACACTACTGTACTTAAGATGTAATCATGTGCATCGGGAATCTATATCATAGAGAAACCGATGATAGGTCCCAAACTCTGGTATGGTGAAAAATACAAATGTGTCACTCTTGTTTCTAAACAAATGTTTTACTTCCTGCGTTTCACAAACAAGGAAGTGAGTATTGAATTTACTGAAACAAAGAAGATACTTCTTTTTTCCACTGTAACACGCATAAACAGAGATCACAAATAAATATGTCTTAGTTTTTGTCATTCTGAATTATGATTAAGAGTGCTTATGAATCTACCAAACCAGTAGGTTTAATAATTGTACTGTAAATACGACGCAACAACCCCAAAGTTCGAGTATTCGGGGTCCCACCTCTCAATTCCAAGGCGTAAAACAACAATAGTCTTTTTAGTTATATAATTGGGGAGATATTTTAATGCACGAGTAGAAAGGTACAATACAGTACAAAACGTCACGGTTTTACACTCGCTCCTTTCGGTCTTTTTACGGATCTCTAAATCATCATATCACTACATTGGAGCTTTTAAAAAGTCTTATAATGTCAGCTCTGTATTTCGGCGAGTGTGAATAAAGACAAAGTGGTCAGTCTCTAATGGGCCATTTCTCGTCAAAATACAGTTCATATTTTAAGACATTGAATTTGAATACTATTTATCCTGCGACATTGTTTAAGAATCAATCAAAACTTCAACAGTTTTGCTGATCAATCTTTTGCACCTTACATTGACGTTACGCTGATTTTTTTGCTGAAGCGGAATAATTGCTCCGCGCAGAAATATAGTTCCAAACTTTAAAGGATATGACAGCGATTTTATAAATTTTCTTAAATAACCTAGTTCATTATATCGAATGAAATCACTTATTTCAAGTTATTTCCATTGTTAAACGTAATTTTAAAGTAATTAAAGAAAGTAATTCTGTCGAATAAACGCACGTGCTAAAAAGCTGCTTTCCGTCACTGCCGAATACAACAAAATATATGTTGCACGTGTATTCCGTCAATGGCAGTTATAGTTGCGGGATAAAAACGGTTATCACTGCTCCACATACCCGAGAAGAGAAACCGCAATGACAGGCGTATTGCTCTGTTGTGCGATAATCACTGTCGATTAGCTGGTTGACAGACTTAACGTCCGCGTTCTCCTATGTAATCAGTGTTCAGCAGAATGGCAGGTTGTACCGTGTTAACCCCAGCTCTGGTGAGACAAGGCCCTTTTCATTCGATACGTTGCTAGAGTCGAGCCAGCTCTCTAGAACGGACTTTCAAACATCACATCTCCAGTCTTCGGTTCTGTCGAAGAAGCCTTAATCATTCCGATGCCATTGCAGAAGTGCACGTTTTATTATTTAGCGCTAGAGCAAGACATGAAGAAGTGATTTAGATACCCCCAAAGTAAAATTTTCATAAACGTGAGGCAGTACTTTAGATAACCTTCCGTAAAGTTCAAATAAAAATATGAGGGTAGTTAGGTTTATATACCCTTGATATCAAAGTATGAGGACAGAGAGTCAGAACTTTAGATACCCTTCAGTAAAGGTGATATCCAAGTATGAGGACACGGAGGTAGTACTTTAGGTTTCCTTTTGTAAAGTGGATATCGAAGTAGGAGGACAGAGATGTAGTAGTTTAGGTACCCTTCTGTAAGGCTGTGTAAAGTTACGCAGTCCTTTAGGTAGCCTCAATTATAGTTGATATCAAAGTAGGAGGACAGTAAGGTAGTACATTAGGTGTAATTCTGTAAACTTGATTTAAAAGTGTGCGGACAGCGGACAGAGAGGTAGTACATTAGGTGTAATTCTGTAAATTTGATTTAAAAGTTTGCGGACAGCGGACAGAGAGGTAGTACATTAGGTGTAATTCTGTAAACTTGATTTAAAAGTGTGCGGACAGCGGACAGAGAGGTAGTACATTAGGTGTAATTCTGTAAACTTGATTTAAAAGTGTGCGGACAGCGGACAGAGAGGTAGTACATTAGGTGTAATTCTGTAAACTTGATTTAAAAGTGTGCGAACAGCGGACAGAGAGGCAGTACATTAGGCACCCTACAGTAAAGTACATTAACTATTATGATAAAATAGAAGATATGGGAATATATGCATATACATATAAAAAACAAAAAAAAAAGATAAAAAAACAACTATACTTTAAGTTACCAACCTGACATACAGATATATGCACACGTGTATACAAATTTATATCATTATGTGTAAGATGTAAGTACAATATACATATGTGTACCTTTAAAGTACCTGTATATACAAATTTATATCATTATGTGTAAGTTGTATAGTACAGTATACTATTTAAAAGTATGTGTTGGCCCGGATGTAAGCGCGCGAGGGGCCAACAAGAGTGATTAGTATAAGTTTAAATAACTTGTTTCGCAATTGTTGTAAAACAAATAAAGTTTATATTTAAAAGTATGTGTGTATACAAATTTATATCACTGTGTGTAAGTTGTATAGTACAGTATACTACTACAAAGTATGTGTGTATACAGATTTATATCACTGTGTGTAAGTTGTATAGTACAGTGTACTACTACAAAGTATGTGTGTATACAGATTTATATCATTGTGTGTAAGTTGTATAGTACAGTATACTACTACAAAGTATGTGTGTATACAGATTTATATCATTGTGTGTAAGATGTAAAGTACAGTATACTATTAAAAAGTATGTATGTATACAAATTTATATCATTATGTGTAATTTATATAGTACAGTATGCTATTAAGAAGTATATGTGTATACAAATTTATATTATTATGTGTAAGTTGTACAGTACAGTATGCTACTAAAATGTATGTGTGTACAGAAATTTGGATCATTGTGAGGTGAGATTGTATAGTTGTATGTGATTATGGAGAAAAACTTGAATAAAAAAAAAAAAAAAAGTTTGTAAACTTCATTTAAAAGTGTGCGGACAGCGGACAGCGGACAGAGAGGTAGTCATTTAGGCACCCTTCAGTAAGTTGATATCAAAGTATGAGGACAGAGAGGTAGTAGTTTATGTAACCTTAAGTGAAATCGATATAAATGTGTTAGAACAAAGAGGTAGTAGTAAAAGTCCATTAAACAAATTTGATTAAAAGAGTTGTTCTTTGAAATCAATTGTATACAAAGTGAATGATTTTCTGCTATGTGTGCTTAATCGATTAGCTTTGCATATGTTTAAGTTTAGCATTTAAGGCAATGACTTTTAAAATTGACATCCACATATAATGTATGAAAGGCCAAAGTTTTTGATTTTGAATGTTCAATTATATCTTGGTAATTTGTGAAAGAAATTCAATATCCAACTGTGATTAACTTGAAAGATAGCATAGAATTCTCATTACTGTCAGTCGTTCGTCCGCGAATCTTCAATGAACCACCTTGAAAGCGATATGTGTCATTACGTCCCCGTGAAAATGTCGAACGTTTTAATGAAGGAGTTTACAAATTTTATCAGATTTCTTTGTAAAAGGGGGCCTCCGTCTAGAAAAGATTTGTCAGCGTAACGATGGTTTTCAATCTGACCAAGCTTGGCAATAAAGATATTTACTTTCCCTTTTTACTGTTTTATGCAGATCACCAGAACATATTATATTATATTACAATCTCTATCATTATAATTTGATATCTTGGTTCTATTTTTCGTTTAAATTTTCTGTAAAGCCCTTCCTGCTATACATTACCTACACAATGATAACATATTTAATTTAGTGTCAGTAAGGTAAGTTTACAGAGAGACATTCACCTTGTGTAATTAGCCTGAATAGATATAAATGTGAAAGCAGGCAACACATCGTGTTATATATAAGGGAAATATGGTTGTGGTTGGGTTTGCACTTGGATTTGCTACGCAACAGACACTTCAGGTAGGTGTTCCGAAACATTATTGGGTGGTTTAAGAGTAAGTTTACATCTTTTGATACCTATTGTATATTAATTACCACTAAAATTGCGCGACCGACCTTCAAATATGGTTTCAATAACATATATTTTTTCGTAGCAAGTTAACATCCTGTTGTAGTATGACATTTATCAATTATTGCGAAAATGATTTTTTTTTTTTTTAGAAAGTTTACACCTCATAATTGTGAAATATTTTAGTTACTGCTAACAGAATTTAAAAACTAGATTTCTTTCTAGCGATATATAACGAGCACCAGCTGTGTTCGCATTCATTTAAATGTAA